GAAAACGAGAGACGGGAAGCCGGGAGAAAAGTGAGAGAAAGAGAGAGAGAGAGAAAGAAAGAGAGAGCGAGCGAGCGAGCGAGAGAGCACCTATTTAGCGAGTGTATTGTGTATTTGTTGCACAAGCGAGATTGTCACCACGACTGACAACAAAAATCCACATGTGATTTAATAGTGAATTTTGAGAATTTTACTAAATAGACTTGTACACTAAATAACTAAAGTAAATTATGAGACGACCAAACAAAGAAAAAAAAGGAAGAACGAGGGAGAAACAGAGCAGCATTAATAGTCGCGCCGACCGGTTCAGGAGGATAAGGAAAATTAGGAAGAAAGGGTTACGACGGGCCCCGTTGTACCCAGCATCCCCGAATAGAAAGAGAGAAACCAGGTTCCGTGGTAGAGAAACCGGAAGAGGAAAGGCGGCCGGAAAGTACGAAAGAGAGAGAGACAGAGAGAGAGAATGAGGGAAAGAGCGAAAGAGCGAAAGAGAGAGAGAGAGCGAGAACGAACGAACGAGAAAGAGCGATAGAGCGAGAGTTAATAGTTATTGTGTACAGATTCGCGTGGAGACGCGACGACACACGGATCTTTTCATTTTTTTCGCGCGACGAAGAAGCGTTTTTCGCCGTAGGTAGCGTTGAACTATGAGAAAGAAGATAAAACTCTAGGCTAAGTACGGGCGAGCGAGCGGAGCGAACGTTCGCTCGATTTAGGAGATAAAAATAAATAAGAAGGAAAGAGGATAAAAGGGGTGGCGATCTTTTATCGGTTAAGAGAGTGGATAAGTTTTAGGTAGACTTCGTAAATAGTTTAGTACTCTAGTAGTTAGGATACACGAATGATAATATATGCCTCTCATCTCCCCCGTGTCCCCCTATCACCCTCCCACCCCCTCTCTTCTGCGCCGCGCGGGCACACGGGGGACACGGGCAGTGGGGGCACCGTTCAGCCTATGCACCTCGCACCCGTCAAGACTGACTGGCTAATCATATTAATTGATAAATATATATATATTATTCTACAGCATATATATATATATATATGTATGCATATATATATATATATATATATATATATA